GGAGAATTGCTTGAACTTGGGAGACAGAGGTTGCAGTGAGCTGAGATTGCGCCACTGCACTCCAGCCTGGGTGAAAGAGCAAGGCTGTCTCCAAAAAAAAAAAAAGGAAGGAAGATGGTGGAAGACTGGACATAATGAACATGTCTGACATCTGATTCTGGTTTTCACAGACTTGTATTCCTGCAGAGAACACCCAGCAAAATTCTGCAATATTTTAAAATTCAGTTTGTGAGAAAGTAAGGATTATTATGTTAGAACACACTTATTCAGAAGCTAACCTTGTTTCCCTCCCTGCAGCCCTCACCACCACTGTTTTTGAATGGGAGTGAGTGGGGGTTCAGGCTAAAACTCAACTGGGAGTCAGAAGATGAGTTCTTTGCAGGTCTGCCACTGACTAGCTCAACCAACTGATGAGTCAAGTTTTCCTGAAACTTCATTTGCAATAAAGGAATAATCTCTAAGGTTTCTTAAAATTCTGATTTTAATTTTTAAACTCTGAGTTACTGCTGCTACTACCCAAAGAAATTTCTGACGCTTTTTGGAACGCTTCCATATAAGAAGCTCTTAAGAAAACTTGTGTCATCCTCATAGCCACATCTCCTTTTGAGACAAATATGACATTACCTAGCTTGATTCACATCACATTAACTTCAAATGATGCAGCCCTTTTTAAAACTAAAATCTTCAACAGGAAATTTGTCTCCATTAAATATATTTAAAATTTAGATTCTGCTCTAAGAAACCACTTAAAAGTATTCTGAACAATGCTTTGGGTTCAAGACTAAAATAATGGTAACATTATTGGAATTAGCACATAGCTTTCCAGAGTAATTTCTTTGAAGAGACAAGGCACATTAACTTGGTGTACTGTTTCATAAGAGTCTATAGAGTCATCCTAATTAGAGATGTTAAATATAAGAAAAAGGCTTTAAAATCGGTAAAATATATAGTATGTAGGTTTTTAAAAAGCCATTTGTAATAATATATCCCAAACTACCTTTTTCCATTTTTGGAACACTTGGGTTGGAACACAGAACCCTAAACATTAAAGCATTTCTTATTGTAACTACAAGGCAGTGGTTCTAAAATGCTGCACAATGAAATCACCTATAGATATTTTAAAAATAAAGATGCGTGGCTCCCTCTCCCAAACACTAACTTAATTGGTATGGAGTAGGAGCTAGGACACAGGATTATGCTATTTCTAACGTGAGGCAAAGTTTGCATTCAAGTGAATTAATGCCTATAACTCAGAAATAATTTGCAGATTATATAGACTAGTATTTTTCCTTTTTTGGGCAGTGATAGCATCACTTACCTGAAATAGACAAGTCTCTCAAAGTTAAGATATGACAATGCAGGCTGGGTGCAATGGCTCACCCAGTCTTTGGTTTGTCTAATTAGTAATTAGACATGACTTGTTCATGTGATCAGAAATGTACACTCCTGAGTGTATGCGGTGTCACACAGGCCACTAAGTAATGTACCAGGTGCCCATCCCTTACATTCTGGCTTCACCACCACCCCTCACTGAAACTGCCCTCTCATTGTCAGTGTAATCTCAGTGGCTTTATCTTTCACCTGATTTGCTTTGCCTTTCCTGCTGCACTTGACAGTTGCCACCATATCTTGAAATGTTACCTTATCTGTCCTGTTTATTCTCTATCAATAGTCCTTGACTTCCACTGCTGATTTTCTTCTTCCTCACCCCGTTTTTACTTTCTTCTTTCTAGCCTCTATATTCAGAGCTTACTCAACAGTAGATCACTCCCCAACCTAAATGGTTTCCATACTTATTTCAGACACTTTTGAGTCTGTCACCTTGTATCTCAGTAAATAAAACTGAACTCCAATGTAGTGAAAGAGGAACAAGTTGTCCAGAAAGAAGCCATCAATGGATGGCTCAGGTATGAATGTCTAGAATATTTGGAAAAAAATATTATAGTATGTCCACAGCCCAGCTAAGTCTAAAAGAGGAGTAGCAAGAGAATGAGGTTTGGGGAGATAGGCAGAGCCCAGATCAAAGGCCTTTAATTGCTATGCTTAGGCGTATCTTTTTAGCAAGAGATGCCATTGAAGAATCTGAAGCAATCACAAAGGTGTGAGTGATGAAAGCCCCATTTAGAAAGTTCTCAACTGGTAGCATGGAGAATGGATTAGATGAAGGCTTGGTGAGACAAAGATGGATAGGGAGGATGGAAAAGAAGATATTTAGAAGGTACCTTGAGTAGAAATTTGGTTAGATTAGAGGATATAAAGTATCTATGATCACCCCAGGTTGCCTCTAGCACGAGTAATGGGTTGCTGGCAATTAATAAACCCATCTAAGATTTAGTAGTGCCTGCTCCAGCAGCACATATCCTAATACTGGAACAATTCAGATTAGCACAGCCCCTGTGCAAGGATGACACGCAATTTCATGAAGCATTAAAAAAAAAAGACAATAAAAGTCTATGCTGTAACAATATATTGGTAGTAAAAACCATAGCCATGGATGACATATCTAACAATTATGTTAGTGAAATCATAATAGTAATTAAATATCTAATGGGTGTTTTCTATGTGCCAGACACTAGTTCCAAATCCTTATTAACTCATTTAATCATTAAAACAATTCTATGAGGAAAAGAACCCCATAGGCAGAAAGCAGATTAAGAAAAAACAAGTTGGGAAGTAAACATGGGAAACCAAATGAGTTTTGAAAAGTAGGCATGAGATCAAGTGAACCAAAGTGTCTGTCTGATTTGACAATTGGGTTATTGGAGATCTCACGGAAAACTGTTTCTAAGCAAGAATTCAGACTGCAGGCTATTTAAAGAAAAAGAAGAGACAGGCTGGTCCAACATTTTGGGAGGCCGAGGCTGGTGGATCACGAGGTCAGGAGATTGAGACCATCTTGGCCAACATGGTGAAACCTAAATAGAAAAATACAAAAATTAGCTGGGCATGATGGCGCACGCCTGTAGTCCCAGCTACTTGGGAGGCTGAGAAAAGAGAATCTTTTGAACCCGGGAGGCGGAGGTTGCAGTGAGCCGAGATTACACCACTGCACTCCAGCCTGGAAACAGAGCAAGACTCAGTCTCAAAAAAAAAAAAAAAAAAGAGAGAGAGAGAGAGAGAGAGACAGAATGAGGCTATTAATTGTTGGAACAAGGAAACCAAGTATGTGTGAAAGGGAAATGCTGAGAACAGGAGGAAGGGCAGCTCCTTCCTGAGACAGGTGGTAAGGATGGAGGCTAGAGTAAGTAAATCCTCTGTAGCAAGGGGTCCAGGAACGGAGGGAATTCACAGCTCATGACCATGTTCTCTCCATAGAGGTATACTGTTTTTTTGGTGAGAAGGGTGGTGAAGGCTGGAATTATTGCTGGAAAGTGGCCTAAAGAATAAATTGATGAGACTACTGATCATAATTCAAAGATCTGGTGAGGCTGGAAAATGTAGAGGCATCAATCCATGGTTATGTGGGGCTTTTTTCCCTCTAATACACTGGACACGAAAAAGCAATAAATTATCTTGATTTATAATTTAGAAGGGCTGAGATTAAAAGCCCAGGCAGGCAGGATCAGAGCGAGTTGTATGACTGATAATTTCAATCTGCAACATTCTGATCAGTATATACTGTTAACATGTATATTTCCAAGTCTAGACTTTTTTTTTTTTGAGACAGAATCTCGCTGTCACCCAGGCTGTAGTGCGGTGGCATCATCATCTTGGCTCACTGCAACCTCCACCTCCTGGGTTCAAGAGAGTCTTGTGCTTCAGCCTCTTGAGGAGCTGGGATTACATACATGCACCACCACTCCTGGCTAATTTTTGTATTTTTAGTAGAGACAGGTTTTCACCATGTTGGCCAGGCTGGTCTCGAACTCCTGGCCTCAAGCGATCCAACCACCTCCCAAAGTGCTGGGATTACAGGCATGAGCCACTACACCCGGCCCCAAGTCTAGACTTTAGATGTATTTTATTCTTAAAGAAACACAAAAACTTCCAGTAGAGTGGCAGGGGTAAGCTAGGTAGTCCTGGTTTAGCCCTGTTAGAACCAATTAAGAATCCAGCATAGAAAGACAGTCTTTAAGCAAGGTGACTTAGATTCTCAGCAAATGTTCCCAAAATCAATAAATGTCTGACCCAAGTGTCTAATATGTTCAGCACTTGGAAAGAGGGGTAGGTATGGCATAATCATTGCTCAAAATGAGTATTATGGAAGACATGACTAAACAAATGAAGTCACAGTGCAATAAACAAGATAATACAATTAAGTGCCAAAGCACATAATATGAATTTTCAAACCTGAAATATTTTGGAAATGTTTTAAATGGAAGTCGAATTTGAGAGTAACTCCCAAATGGGCAAGGAATCAAGTGAGTTTTTCTTTCAGCTTTTGTTTAAAAGTATCACCAACATAGTTATGGAAAAGTTTAAAATATTACAAAGGGAATTGTTATAAACAATCTCTGACCTAAATAGTATGTGATCAAATGCATAAAGGACAAAAAATGTTAAGTGTGAGTTCATCTAAATTTCTAAAAGATGTAAAAATAGACAACTTTTCTTTGTTGTAGAAAGAGCATTAAGATATGGAGTGGGCCGGGCGCGGTGGCTCAAGCCTGTAATCCCAGCACTTTGGGAGGCCGAGGCGGGTGGATCACGAGGTCAAGAGATCGAGACCATCCTGGTCAACATGGTGAAACCCCGTCTCTACTAAAAATACAAAAAGTTAGCTGGGCATGGTGGCGCGTGCCTGTAATCCCAGCTACTCAGGAGGCTGAGGCAGGAGAATTGCCTGAACCCAGGAGGCGGAGGTTGCGGTGAGCCGAGATCGCGCCATTGCACTCCAGCCTGGGTAACATGAGTGAAACTCCGTCTCAAAAAAAAAAAAAAAAAAAAGATTTGGAGTGATAGTAGTGAAATTACATAGTTCATGTAATCCTTCAGATAACCTTAATTTCCTAATGTGTAAAAGGGCTAGAAGAGTAACTGTTCTTTTTACCCACAAAAGGTCTGATTTGAAGTGTTTTACAAATATAAATTCTTTAAGTGCAGCCAACTAAAATATGAAATTCATTATGTTAAGCAGAACATTATAGTTCATCATTATAATTAGAAAGAAACTGGCAACATCCAGTTATTTGCCAAATATTAATATAATGGAACAAAACAGAAGTAGAATTTCTGCATGCAGTAATTGGGAAGGAGAAATAGGGATGTTTTATCACTTCTTAACTAAAACACTTCTATGCTGGCTTTTAAATATTGCTAAAAATATCAACAGAAACCAAAACAGAAGATAAATTTCATTTCTATATTTCAGAAAACCTACTTGAATACACTTTGAAACAAGAGTACAACAAAATAGAATATACTTCAAATGTTGAATATACAAACTATTATAGTTCAAATCTGAACACTGGTACTTTCCCTCATAAACTTCAACTGAAAAAAAAAAAAAAAGAAAAAAGAAAAAGAAAGAAAGAAAACTCCAGGTATTACAGCTACCTGACAAAAATTCATGCTGAGCCTGAACTTCCAAGTGACAGCAGAACTGAAAATGATGTCTGCACAAATGCCAGGGCTAAGCAAGTGACACAGGCATGTTATAGCAAAAGGCCAGAGCCAACTGTTAATTTGTCCACAATTAAGAAACTGACAGACTTAAACTACCATATAAAATGTTACATGTAAATTCTATAACAATACTGTGCTAGGTACAAGATTTTTAAAATTTTTCTTTTAATAAAAAAGCTTTACACAAACAAGCCATTAGCTTATTTCAAGAAAGAAAACCAAAAAATTAGTCTAAGGCCTTTGTTTTAAATCAGCTTAAGCTATATGATATATATATATGTGTGTGTATATATATATATATATATATATATTTATAAAAAATCGCACTAGATCTTTTTTTGCTATCCTCTTTCTGAAGTTTTTGGATCCATTCTTCAATTCACATTCTAAAATACCTATATTAGCAGAGTCTTCACGTAGCACCAGTTAAGTGAGAACTGTGCGAACACAGTAATAATTGCTGGTATGCATATGAAATGCATCAAAAATTGCTATATGTAACAATGAGATCACCCATCCCAACCCTCCCCACCGAAAACTATATAACCTCTTACAGAATGTTAGTGTTCCAAGTCTTAGTGTAACTTGATATCGTAGTGAGTTGGTTGGTCCCTTTCAATCCTTTCTTATTGACGGGTTCAGTTGTTTCCTACTGTAAGAGGCAGTTTTCTGTCAGCATCTCAATATGTAGTTCACTTCCCACTGAAACATGGGATAGGTAATTTATTTCCAGTAAGTTTGATTGTTTTCGTATATGCATTAAAAATGTTTTAAAGTCTTCTTTGACTTTTCTTGGTGACTTCCCTTGCAAATGTTTACATCAGTACTGCCACTAACAGCCTGAAGTCCAAGGTGGAGCTGCGATTTTATTTCTCACATGTCACTAGTCCTTCTGTTTTCATAGTTACAGGAAGGGCAATAGCTGAAGGCGCACTGACAACCACTACGTGGGTCACTGTCTTATTTCCATCTGCCGGTTTTTCTTCCACCAACTGCAAAGTTTTCACATCGTGTTCTTGCTTTTTTGCCACTGCTTCTGATTTAACCTCTGGCCCCTTTATGACTGCACTGATAACTCGAGAAGGAGTCTGGCCAGATGCCTGCTGAGTAGGCATTGATAGTCTCATTACAGGTGTACCATGGGCTATTGAAACAGGGGTAAGTGCTCTCACAGCCAATGGGGTTCCAACAATGTTAATGCTTCCTGATCCAGTCAGATTTGACTTCGTCTGCAGTTGACACTGTGCGAGCTGTGTAGCTGGGATGGTAATAATTTTGGCAGGCTGCATGGTGATTTTGTCTCCATTTTCAGTAGAAGCTGGCATCACAGTAGGGATTGTCTGAATGACTACCTTTGGAGAGGTTGCTGTTGTTGGACTAGTGCTGGTTATTAATGGTGCACCCGCATTAACTGACTGAACTGCCACAGTTGAAATTTTCTGACCCAATGATGTCATTACAACAGGTACTTGCATTGCCACACGAACTGTCCTAGTACATTAGGAAAAAAAAAAAGCTGATTATTGCCAAATGAGAAAATAGGTCTCCTGAGTAAAAGATGAATGCAAATCCAAAATGTATAAAACTAGTGCTCCCAAATTTTTTGGAGATACTGGCAATCCCTGTTTAGAATATGAAATACCATGAAAATATATTATATTTTCAAAACTAAAGCCTACATTAAGCCCCATCTATAAAACCATAAAAACCAATTCGGGTTATTAAGACATCTGCTGCTTTGTTTTTTTTGTTTTGTTTTGTTTTGTTTTGTTTTGTTTTGAGATAGGGTCTCAGTCTGTCACCTAGGCTGGAGTGCAGTGTGCTATCTTAACTCACTACCACCTCCAACTCCTAAGTTCAAGTGATTCTCTTGCTTTAGTTTCCTGAGTAGTTAGGACTATAGGTGTGTCCCACCATGCTCAGCAATTTTTTATTTTTAGTAGAGAGGAGGTCTCACTATATTGTCAAAGCTTGTGTTGACCTCCTGTCCTCAAGCAATTCTCTTGCCGTGGCCTCCCAAAGTGCTAAGATTATAGGTATGAGCCAATGCACCCCGCTAGACGTCTACTTTAACAACAACGAAAAAAATAAAAATATCAAGCACTTTTCAAAGTCTTGACAACATGGGTTCTTAGAACACTAATATTAAGCAAAGGGACATTTTATTTTCACCAAGGAGACTATTTAAAAAGTCATTGCACTCCAGCCTGGGTGACAGAGCAAGACTCTGTCTCAAAAACAAACAACAAAAAAAGTAAATACATTACAACTAATGGTTTGCCTCACTTACCTTGGAGCTGCTGTTGCTGATACAGATGCAGTGGTAGTAGGAGACCTAGATGAAGCATCATGACCAGAGGAAGTGATATTCACAACTCTGGCTACACCCTTCTCTGCTCTGGAGCAGTTTATAGAGGATGAATTTTTTCCACCACGAACAGAGGATGCTGCTTTCAGGAGACTTTCTGCAGACAGTGACACTCGTTCTAATGATTTTTCATCAGTAGCTCCTGCTAAATCTTCATTACAGGTTTCACTTTTGTCATCATCTATGACCACTATGTTTTTGGGCATATCCTTGAACTGATACACAAGCCTCTGTCCTTCAACCTTTGCAAGAATTCCCCTTTGGTAGTAGTATCTGTAAGGTGAAAATGTACTAAATGAATCAAGTATATTACTTCTCCACCCCACTCCACCCCCAACAAAAAGACCATGTACAGTAGATAACTAACAGAAACACTCCCTTATCCCTAATAACAGATGAGGAAAAAAAGAAGCTCTTACTGCCTGGACTGCTCAAAAGGTTACCAATTTAGAGTAGGAATGAAGTTAGAACCCGGTGTCAAGGTCCCACAAACTTAAGATCTATAAAGTAGCTGAAAGTTCATTCTTTTTCTTAAAGGAAATAATTTACCTTACCATAGAATATTTTACTATACTGATACCGGTGTAAATTCTTTTCTGATTTACATAGGTTATAAAAACAAACTGATGTTACTGGAAAAATTACCTAAGCCACACTTACTTAGTAGAGATAGGCAAATATTGTCACATAAGCCATGTGTTCACTTAAAAACATCCTTAATTAGAAGAAGCCATATACTTGACAATGAAAGAATTTTGTGGGTTTCTCAAACTGATCATTTTTTTGGGGGGTGGGGGGAGTCTCTGTCGCCCAGGCTGGAGTGCAATGGCACAATCTTAGCTTACTGCAACCTCTGCTTCCTAGGTTCAAACAGTTCTCTCACCTCAGCCTCCCAAGTAGCTGGGATTACAGGTGAGAACCACCATGCCAGGCTAATTTTTGTATTTTTAGTAGAGACAGGGTTTCACCATGTTGGCTAGGCTGGTCTCAAACTCCTGACCTCAAGTGATCTACCCTTGGCAGCCTCCCAAAGTTCTGGGATTACAGCTGTGAGCCACCATGCCCAGCCAAACTGATAAAACGTAAGATAAATTTTCGGATCAAGATAAATCCATTTATAACAAACTCCTAAAAGCTAAAAAACAAATTAACTTTAGGAACTGCAACTTGTTGAGGTTTAATGTTTTTTTTTAAGCCTACAATTTCACAATTTCTATTAAGAAATAGTCCTAAGAGCAAAAGCACATTTCCTGCAAAAATGAATCTTCCAATGATGTTAAAATTATAAGCATCTAGACCAAACTCCTCTCTCCCCACCTACTTCCAAATCTATGAAGTTCCTCTAGAATATCCCCCAAGGTTAAAAGTTGTAAAGGATTTTGAGCTTCTCTTTAAACAGCTAATAGGTACATTTTGTTTGAATACTAGCTCATTTGCGTTTTTACCTCAAAGCTCGTCCCATGGTTTCATAGTTCATGTCGGGTTTGTTCTTATGCTTTCCCCAAAGCTTAGAGACAGCCTTCGAATCCACCAGCTTGAATATGCCTTTTTCTCTCTGAGTCCATTTAATATACCGGGGACAAGTATTCTTATCTTGAAGTAGATCTAAAAGAAACTCCCACAAATAGGTTGTGTTTCCTTTAAAAACAAAGACATTGATTTAAAAATTCATTAACATAATTAAATACATAATTAAAAGTAAATAAAGTGTCATTCATTGTAACATAAAAATGCTGAATATATTTGTTTCCACCTTTTTTTTTTTTTTTTTTTTTGAGACAAAGTCTTGCTCTGTTGCCCAGGCTAGAGTGCAGTGGCACGATATTGGCTCACTGCAACTTCCGCCTTCTGGATTCAAGCACTTCTCCTTCCTCAGCCTTCTGAGTAGCTGGGATTACAGGCACTTGCCTACTACCACACCCAGATAATTTCTGTATTTTTAGTAGAGACGGTGTTTCACTGTGTTAGTCAGGCTGGTCTCGAACACCTGATCTCGTGATCTGACTTCCAAAGTGCTGGGATTACAGGCATGATCCACCACGTCTGGCCTGTTTCTATTTTTTAAAAATGGTATTCCCCATGTATGCTTACAGTTATGATGCTAAAATACAGGTTTCTGGATTTTGTACTATTACATATTACCCTATCCTAGATTTTGAGTTCAGTAAAGGCAAAGGCAAATTGTTTAGGTAAAATTAAGCTGAATTAAATATAATAAAATTTATAATAACATTTATTAGTTTGTACAGATTTAAACTGAAAAAAAAAATAATTTATTTACACCTTTACCATATGATAAACCTAATTTCCATGATAAAAATTCATCAAAAGGTACTTGCAAAATGCAATTAAATGTGCAAAACTTTTAGGCATCAGGCCTAGGATCTTTTTTTAAGAAACTTACTTTTCTTTGATTCATCTATAGGCATGAACTCTGAGGTATATGTACTGTAAGTACAAACCACCCTCAACCCCTTAAGCATTTTCTTATCAATTAAGACTTGATATCAAGGCTCACGCCCGTAATCCTAGCACTTTGGGAGGCCAAGGTGGGTGGATAACCTGAGGTCAAGAGTTCAAGACCAGCCTGGCCATCATGGTGAAATCCCATCTTGGGAAAAAAAAAGACTTGATATCAAAGAACATTACTGCTGGCCAGGTGTGGTGGCTCACAGCTGTAATCCTAGCACTTTTGGAGGCCTAGGCGGGCGGATCATCTGAGGTCAGGAGTTTGAGACCAGCCTGGCCAACATGGTAACACCCTGTTCTCTACTAAAAATACAAAAATTAGCTGGACATGGTGGTGCGCACCTGTAATCCCAGTTACTTGGGAGGCTGAGCACAAGAATCACTTGAACCCGAGATGCGGAGGTTGCAGTGAGCTGAGATCGCACCACTGTATTCTAGCCTGAGCAACAGAGTGACACCCTATCTCAGGGAGAAAAACAAAAAAAACAAAAAAACATTACTGCCTCTAAAAACAGATTTTTTTAAAAAATTTCTAATCACTTCCTACTGATTATACCCAGTAGACTGAAGATAAGTAATATATTCAAAGGACTTCATTACATATACTTAAATATATATAACTTAAGTTTTTAAGACATTGTATATCACTCTTAAAATATGAGGTCGTAAAATGGAAAAATATGGTAATTCCTTAGAACTAGTCAAGTATTCATCAAATGTTAACTGTAACATTAGCTCTGGATCACACTACTAGTAAAATTTTTAAATGAGGAAATATTAGAATATTTCTGCAGAATAAAATGCTTATTCATCACATACTATGCTTAAGGATATAGAGATGAATTTAAAAGCTGGTTCCTGCCTCAAGGAATTTATAATTTAGTTGAGAAGAGCAAAGAAAGTGGATGACAAGTTAAACAACAATACAAGAAATAAATAACAATTTGAAACAATGTAAGGTCTATTACAAAGCAATGCATAATTAATTATATCCCAAATAATCATAGAAAATAATGTCTGTAGGATTCCAGGAGTGAAAATAAAGTGGGCTAGTAGGACATCATGAAGTCTTGGAAGATGGCTAGGATTTGCATAAAAGAACAAAAAGGAATCTGGGCAAGTAAAATAAAAAACTTAATCCCAAAAGGAAGAAAGTATCACACCTTTTTCCCCTTATTAAGGAGGGAAGAGTAGTGGGCAGTGGTCATGACAAGAAGAGGCTTTTCAGGTTGCTTTTACTTTATTCCCTTCATAACCTCTAGATGCCAAGGTTCTTATTGACAGAAGAACAGAAGGCCGGGCGCAGTGGCTCACACCTGTAATCCCAGCACTTTGGAAGGCTGAAGTAACCAGATCACCTGAGATCAGGAGTTCATGACCAGCCTACAAAATACATCTCTACAAAAATACAAAAATTAGCCAGGCATGATGGTGGGTGCCTGTAATCCCAGCTACTCGGGAGGCAGAGGCGGGAGAATCACTTGAACCTGGGAGGCGGAGGTTGCAGTGAGATCGTGCCACTGCACATGAGCCTGGGTAACAGAGTGACAGTCCATCTCAAACAAAAAGAACAGAAAAGAGTCCTGAGAACAAAAAGGGAGATCATCTGTCGGATCCCATGTACTATTCATTTACTATACTTAAATCCAGATCTAAGATACAGGTTATGTTGGGCAGCTTCCAAAACAAGCTATAGCTACCCCAACACCTTCAATCAAAATACTGACGCTTTTTTTCTGGCATGTTCACTTTAATTGTGACTTTCCCTGAAAATTCAGTAAATTCATTAATAACACAGAGTTGAGCCCATTATGCATCTCCTAACCTAAAGTTGAGCCCATTATGCATCTACTAACCTAAAAAAGCTGACTTTCAACTTCACAATGTTATATTTGTATCTCTGGGACCCTATTTATCACACCAGTATCACTACCTAAAAACTATTAAAACACACCATGTATAATCTTTAATTACATCAAAATGTGTAGCTGGGGCATTTTTATTTTGTTCACGTAGTAGTAGTAAATGTAAGCAAAGATCTTATTCTAGAAGAAATTTTTATATAACACAGACAGTGCCTTGTACATAAGATATCTAAGTGTTTCCATGTTTTGAATTCATTATTAGACTCATCAACTCATTATCAACTCATCAACAGATTATCTTTAAATACTCACTGCACCCATGTTTTCATCCCCAAGTTAAAATGAACAATTCTAAGAAGGAGGCCAAGGATGGAGGATCACTTGGGCCTAGGAATACAAGAAAAGTCTAGGCAACATAGGGAGACCCATCTCTACAAAAAATTGAAAAATTGGCCAGGCATGGTTGTGTGTGCCTGAGGTCCCAGCTACTTAGAAGGCTGAAACAGGAGAATACTTTAGCCTGGAAGGTTGAGGCTGCAGTGAGTTGTGATCATGTCACTGTATTCCAGCCTGGGTGACACAGTGAGACCCTGTCTCTAAAGAAAAAAAAATTTTTTAATTAAAAATTCTGTATCTGGTTTTAAAGAAAATAGGAGGATTCAGAAAGAGAAGCTTTCCTCACCAGGTAATAAGGAATTTGCCTATGACAAATATTATTATCACGATTTTGCAGAAGAAAAAACAATGGCTGGATTTTGAATACAGGTTTGACAGTTATACCTTTAATTATTATATTACATTATAACATATTGCCTCAAATTTAATACAAGACTGATATTGTAATGAGGTGTGGTTTTAATTGGTAAAAATTGGTCACAAAGTTTTTCTCCAGTGTTAAGCACAAGATCTGAGTATAAGAGATACCACTGAGGATAAGAATTACTTAAAAGACAACAGTAGTAACTATATATTTACAGTTTAGTTTTCTAATGTTTACTGCTACTATGTTAACTTTTAAAGTCTTCAATATAAATTAAAAGGTAAAAAACCTAAGATGTTAGAAGTATAAAACAGCCAAGACAAACAAGGAAATAAGAAAAGTATCCTAAGCCTCTCCCAAATTGGGTCACCAGTTCCTAAATAAGTGTTCAGTGTAACTTTTTTTTTTTTTTTTTGGGGTCTAACTAAATACCAAATTTCTTGGTAGGCTTACTGAAGATAATTTTTTTTAAAACTAGACTTAATTTGTTTTAATTATTTAAAATTATTAAGTCAAACCACCTGATAAGAACAGAATAAATTTAAATATATTAATGCAAAATTGATCCAACTATTGACTACTGGTCTGAAAACACTTACTCATGGAAGTAATAAATTTTTGGTGATCAGATTAACAGACAGAACACATCTAAAACCACTACTGAAATGGTACTTTATCTGTCAGAATCTGAGTGAAAAGAAAATTAAAGGCCAGGTGCAGTGGCTCATGCCTATAATCCCAACACCTTGGGAGGCCAAGGTGGGAGGATTGCTTGAGGCCAGGAGTTTGGGACCAGCCTGGGCAAAACAGGGACAACCTGTTTCTACAAAAGATTTTAAAATATTTAAAAAAATTAAAAAAACTCAATCTTTCTTCTAAAAGAAAAAAATAAAAATAAATAAATAAAAATAAAGGATAACAAGAAAGTAATAAGAATACTTTTAAAAAGAAATGTTACTTGAAATCATCTTACTCAACAAATTAAGAAAGCTCAGAATGGGGGAGGTTTGGTGCTATTTTTATTTTTAATGAGGATATACAAATTCTAAAGCAAAAATAGGCAAGGGACAGTGGCTCATGCTTGTAATCTCAGCACTTTGGGAGTGTGAGGTGAGAAGATCTCTTGAAGCCAGGAGTTTGAGACCTGCCTGGGCAACAAAGCATGAGACCTCATCTCTTAAAAAAAAAAACTAGCTGGATGCGGTAGTGTGCACATGTAGTCCCAGCTATTTGACAGGCTATAAGCAACATAGTACAAGGCTGTAGTGAGCTACGGTCACACCACTGCACTCCAGCTCTGTCTATAAAAACAAGTAAATAAGTAAGCAAAAACATAGTTTTGTTCTGAATTGTGACTGACATGACTGAAATTTGTTGACTGGAAAATTTAGCTCGCCTTCAATTTTTGCATTGTTTCTAAACAATTAAGAAATTATGTATCAGACTGGGTGCAGTGGCTCATGTCTGTAGTCCCAGCACTTTCAGAGGTGGAGGCAGAAGGATCACTTGAGCTTAGGAGTTTACAGACCTGCCTGAGTGACATAGTGACACCTCATTTCTACAAAAAATTTAAATAATAAAAAAAAATTGCCGGATGTGGTGGCATGTGCCTGTGGTTCTAGCAACTCAGAAGGCTGAGGTGGGAAGATGGCTTAAGCCCAGGAAGTCAAGGCTACAGTGAGCCATGATCACACCACCACACACCAGCCTGGGCAACAGACAGAGCAAGACTGTCTCAAAAAAATAATAAAGAAATAAATTATCTATTAGAAACAAGGCTTAGTTGCAAACCCTTTTAAATCATAGGTGGCTATAACTGAGGATGAGCGCTACTGTACATACATACATCCCCTAAGTCAATGGTTCTTTTTTTAAAAAAAAAAAAAAAAAAAAAACATGGAGTTTCACCATGTTGGTCAGGCTGGTCTTGAACTCCTGAACTGAGGGTGATCCGCCCGCGTTGGCCTCCAAAGTGCTTGGATTACAGGCGTGAGCCACCATGCCCGGCCGAGTCAATGGTTCTTAAGAAGGGTATCTATCAGACATCCTTAGGACTTTTTCCAAAAGTTCCTATATCCCCCATGATACTATTATGGCTACAGAATCTCTGTGGGGTAGGAACTGGGCACAGATATTTTGAAAAAGATCCCCATGTGATGCTGATACATCCCTTATTAAGAACTATTACCAATGACAGCATTCTCATATGTGCATGTACTAGAAATAATTTTCTTACAAATGCAAAAATGTCACCTAACTGAAAAAAAAATCATCTCACTTCCAAAGCAACCCTCCCCAAATTACCTTTTCCTTCTCTCGGTTTCTTCTTTATACCTAACTCAGGAGACCCATTGGAAATTGGTGATTGCTGGGTCTTTGGTTTACGGCCAACTGAAAAAATAAGATATTGAAACCATACGTTGAAAACAAGAAAAATACGAGAGGCACGATTAGCAGACTTTCTGATTATACATTACTCATTTAAATGGACACTAATTTGTAGATGAATATACTCTGTGTAAGAAAAGCTGCTTCTAAAAGGAGTATTTAAAACACTTTTGTATTTTGGATTATAGCAGTTAGTAGTAATCTCTGTCATATACATTGGCAGAGCCTTGACTGCCATATACATTGGTCAGAGCCTTGATTTGCTAATCTTTTATGTTAGTGTAGCAATAGAAACAAATTCTAGTAAGAAATTATTTTTCTGTTCTACGGGATTGTTAGAAACAGCTTTAGCAACTTATTTAGAAGATCTGATAATCTGTGAAGCCCTTTGAACTCAAATGAGGAAAAGTAAAAAATATCACTCTCAACTGCTCTGTATAAGTTAATTCACCAGAATTTAAGCATAGGTGTTTCAATTTCCCCACTTCCACAGATACAAGGGTGAAAAACTTCCAAGTAGTTATTTTATATGTCTAATAAATGTCTGTGCCCTTCCCTTTTGTTCCTCCTCACTTTTGCCATAAGTCTCCCTCAGACAGACCAGCATCCACAAGGAATAGAAAAAAAAGTAAGGGCTATGTACTTTTCTACGCCAAAGAGGATTAAGCCTGCAATGAGTTATATTGGATCCTCAGCACAGATGGATGAACACTGGCAGGTGAGAGGCAGCCTCAAGAAATAAATTGGGAGTATTTATGTTGTATTTTAAGATCAAATATACACACACACATATACACACACACACCCCTTTTTTTTAAAGATGGAGTCTCTATCTGTCAGTAGTGCAGTACTGTGATCTTGGCTCCCCACAACCTCCACCTCCCAGGTTCAAGCAATTCTCCTGCCTCTGCCTCCCAAGTAGCTGGGACTACAGGCACATGCCACCATGCCCAGCTAATTTTTATTATTTTTAGCAGAGACGGGGTTTCACCATGTTGGCCAGATGGTCTCGATCTCTTGGCCTCATGATCCACCCGCCTTGGCCTCTCAAAGTGCTGGGATTACAGGCCTGAGCCACTGCGCCTGGCCTATACGTTTTTTGTTTTAAGTCACCCAGACTGGAGGAGTACAGTGGCGCAAACACGGCTCACTACAGTCTCCACCTCCTGGGCTCAAACAATGCTACTGCCTCTGCCCCCCAAGTAGCTGGGACTACAGGCATACACCACCATGCCTGGCTAACTTTTCTATTTTCTGTAGAGACGGGTTTTTACCATGTTGCCCAGGCTGGTCTTGAACTCCTGAGCTCAGGCAATCTGCCTGCCTTGGCCTCCCAAAGTGCTGGGACTACAGACATGAGCCATGGCACCTGGCCGTAGTTTAAGATCAAATATACTATTACTGATTTGGTGATTGTTCCACATCTGAGATTTCTGATGTCACTCTATTCTTCATTTGGAAGCATTAGTTAGATTAATTATATGAAGAGCTAATTAAAGCATCTTAACATTTGTATTTCAAAATGCATATATTTTAGTATTTAATTCTGGTAATTTTTTTTTTTTTTTTTTTTTTTTGAGACTAAGAGTTTCGCTCTTGTTGCCGAGGCTGGATTGCAATGGCACAATCTTGGCTCACGGCAACCTCCGCCTCCCGGGTTCAAGCAATTCTCCTGCCTCAGCCTACCGAGTATAGCTGGGATTACAGGCGTGTACCACCATGCCCGTCTAATTTTGTATTTTTAGTAGAGATGGGGTTTCTCCATGTTGGTCAGGCTGGTCTCAAACTCCTGACCTCAAGCGATCTGTCCACCTCGGCCTTCCAAAGTTCTAGATTACAGATGCGAGCCACTGCACCCAGCTAATTCTTTTTTTTTTTTTTTTGGGGGGCGGGGAGGGGGACAGAGTTTCGCTTTTGTTACCCAGGCTGGAGTGCAATGGCGCGATCTCGGCTCACCGCAACCTCCGCCTCCTGGGTTCGGGCAATTCTCCTGCCTCAGCCTCCTGAGTAGCTGGGATTACAGGCACGTGCCACCATGCCCAGCTAATTTTTTGTATTTTTTTAGTAGAGACGGGGTTTCACCATGTTGACCAGGATGGTCTCGATCTCTTGACCTCGTGATCCACCCGCCTCGGCCTCCCAAAGTGCTGGGATTACAGGCTTGAGCCGCCACGCCCGGCCAATTCTGGCAATTCTAATCCAGAAGTCTGTTTTAACAAAAATTAGAACAGAAGTTCGCTGGTCTCTGTTAGAATACAGCTTAATTACTCAATCTAAATAATATTTATATGTATGAATCAGACAATAATAAAACTAACACCTTCAGCATCTCCTAAATTCTAGCACAAAAGCCCAGCTTAGTAGAAAAGTAAGTGCAAAAAGGCTTAATTTACTTTCTCATAAAGCAGCACGTCCAAAATTATGTTCCTTGATAAATTTCTTCTGTAGAAAAATGGGTTCTATAGTCATATTAACTTTTAGAACATGGAGTATCTGTCAGTAGTGTATTAAATGTGCACATTAGTATATTAAAAGCTCTCAAAATAAAAAGAGGGGTTGATATTAAAAAATAACCTAAATTTGTATACCCCAAATGTTCTTAACCACAAAAATATAAATAATGATACTCTTATTTTTCACTCTCTCCCTTATGGTAGTAGCACAGACAGAATGGTTAAATGTATTTGTTTTTTTCTTTGACACAGGGTCTCACTCTGTCACCCAGGCTGGAATGCAGTGCCACATTATGGCTCACTGTAGCCTCCCAGGTTTAAGCGATCATGCTGCCTCAGCCTCCTGAGTAGCCAGGACTACAGTTGTGTGCCACCATACTTGGCTAATTGGTTTTATTCCTCCAGATCAGGTCTCAGTATGTTTCCCAGGCTGGTCTTGAACTCTTGAGCTCAAGCGATCATCCTGCCTCAGCCTCCCAAACTGCTGGAATTACAAGTGTGAGCCAGCACACCCTGCCTTATAATTTTTAAATGGTCATTAAGAGCTTTCACAGAAATAAACAAAATTACTATTAAATTGGCAAAGTATTTCCTCATTTATATCATATCATATCCTGGTTCCATATATGGCCCCTGTTTTTCATGATCTTTTCCATCTTCTTTTATTTATTTATTTGGTTTTTGAGATGGAGTTTCGCTCTTGTTGCCCAGGTCAGAGTGCAATGGCACAATCTTGGTTCATAAAAACCTCTGCCTCCCGGGTTCAAGCAATTCTGCCTCAGCCTTCCAAGTAGTTGAGCTTTCAGGCATGTGCCACCATGCCCAGTTAATTTTGTATTTTTTAGTAGAGACAGGGTTTCTCCATGTTGGTCAGGCTGGTCTCGAACTCCCTACCTCAGGTGATCTGCCTGCCTTGACCTCCCAACCTCAGGTGATCTGCCTGCCTTGACCTCCCAAAGTGCTGGAATTACAGGCTTGAGCCACCATGCTCAGCCTCCATCTCCTTTTAAATCTTTTTTTACTTTTTTCTTGAGACTGAGTCTCACTCTGTCACCCAGGCTGGAGTGCAGTGGTAGGATCTTGGCTCACTACAACCTCTACCTCCCGGATTCAAGCAATTCTCTTACCTCAGCCTCTGAGAAGCTGGGACTACAGGCATGCAACACCACAGCCAGCTAATTTTTGTATTTGCAGTAGAGACAGGATTTCACCAGGCTGGTCTTGAACTCCTGACCTCAAGTGATCTGCCCGCTGCAGCCTCCCAAAGTGCTGGGATTACAGATGAGAGCCATCGTGCTCAGACTTAAATCTAAATAAACACTTACGTATTTTGTGACAGATCCCACTGGGTACAACCAGCTAAGTACTACAGCACGCAGTGGGTAAATAAGGCTATTTATATGTATGCCTTTTGTTTTTAAATGTTTACATCAGAAAGTAATTCTTCCTCCTAAACTCTCTCATTTATACATACTCTCTCGAGATACATACATACATGTGTGAAAACACTGTCTTATTCTCATCTCCCTTACAACAACGATCACAGAATGGTACACATTGTGGCAATATGAAACACTGTATTTAATAAGAGAAAATAACATTATTTCAAACACACTTTTATTTTTGACTTTATTTTACTCTAAAATGTGAACAGTTAGAGAAGAATTAGATTTCATTTCTAAATCATTTCATTTCTAAAAGAATTAGCATTTCATTTCTTTCCAATTTTACCTTTGATTTGAACAGAAAAGGACCCACTTACTGCCTATTTCCTCATGATGTTGAAAATGTGCTAGAGGCTTGCAACTTACCCATTGTCATCAGGGGACCAGAAATTTCAGGAGGAGTCAAATAGTAGGTAGAAATGCTCTTTACCCACTGGCGAGTTTATGCCAATTAGAAGTCTCTATCTATATATAATATTATTTTAGATATCACACCATTTTTACCTCATACCTTCTGCTTTGAAACACTAAGACTGCTGATATATATTACTGGCTATCTTAGTTTTTCAAAGCAGAAAAAAATTATATAAAATATATGTCATACTATATACTTTATATTAAAAATAATGTATATAATTTTATAATTAAAAATTATATATATAAAATATATATTATGACATATATTTTATATTATTTTATAAAATATACACTATGACATATATATGTTTATATATAGTATATAAAAGAAAAAATATATAGAATATACATGTCATACTATATATTTTATATAATATATCGTATGATATATATATATATCACTGTTTATTTGGGTTTTTTGAGATAGAATCTTGCTATGTTGCTCAGAATGGCCTGAAACTCCTGGGCTCAAGCAATCCTTTGACCTCCTGAGCAGCTAGGACTACAGATGTGCCTGGGTTTTTAAAAAATATCCATGAAAGCACAAGTTAAGACTTTGTAAAATAAAATAAAGAATAAAATGTTTTTTTTTTTTTTTTTTTTTTAAGTAACTAAGTACCCATAAAAGGATCAACAAGGAGAAGATGAAGTAAGACAACGTACAGGGAACCTCTATCTGCCTTCTGTGTGTCCAACACCTGTTAAAATACCATTGTCAGGCAACTACCTTCAAGCCTTACATATTAGCTCCTTTAAATAGTATGAGTACATTAAAATACTAAATTAAAATCTCAATGTTGATTCTTTGAGAATATCTGGTTAAGATTAACATCAATCTTAAATCTACAGTATATACTATTTTCTACGTCCCTTGATGAGGAAAGATACCAGAAAACAATTTCACCTGCCTTCTCAGAAATGTATAAATATACCCTACCTTTTTTCTTTTTCATTGGTTCATGGCTATCTGGTGATGTAGGAATAGGAGAGGTATCCATTGGTTCAGACTCTTCAGTTGACACCTCCACTACAGTTTCTGTAATGACATCTGGTCTCATAGCAGCATGGATAAATTCTGGAGTTGATACACAAGGAGGAACAAACACTTCCACTATAAAAAAAAGTTGAAAAATTAAAATTTCCCACCCCCATCAGTGTTTCTTGCGTGGACAGTTCAACATTTAGAAGAGGTGAGGTTTGTTAAGAATTAATCAAAGCAGGATAAGAGCTTAATACTGAAGAATTTAATTTGCTGACTATTCAATATGATGTAAACTATACAAGGAAAATAAATGCAAAGAAAATCAACTGAAAGGAAAAATGTTAATCCTCTGGGTAAGGCAAGGACCATGAGGAGTCACTCCGCTCTTTCACACATAAAGGTACCTTCAAGCTCACTGCAGAAAAATTCTAAATTATTCTAACAGTTGGGAAAACATTTGAAAATAATAGTATAACACTGAGTTAATAATTACTTTCCATCCACATATCCATCATTATTTTTTAACAGGTAATACATGCATGTGGTTCAAAATCTGAAAGATTTACAAATATGTACTCAGTAAAATATAAGCACCTACAGTTCATTTTAGAATTTGAAAAGGAAAACTTGCTCATACAGACAACAAATATTGCCTTTCAATATTTAAAGAGTCTTGATGTTTTAGTCACTAAAACAGTAGGTACAGACTGTAATCTGGTTTTCTAGTACATACAATAATGTTGCTCTGGCTTCCTTCTAATATGCACAAATAACCAAGATACGATATTTCTATTTCTGTTTCTTTGTTTTGTTTTGAGATGGAGTCTCACTCTGTCATCCAGGCTGGAGTGCAATGGCACGATCTCCACTCACTGCAACCTCCGTCTCCGGGGTTCAAGCGATTCTCCTACCTCAGCCTCCCGAGTGGCTGGGACTACAGGCAAATGCCACCACACCCTGCTAATTTTTGTATTTTTAGTAGAGATAGGGTTTCACCATGTTGGCCAGGCTAGTCTCAAACTCCTGACTTCAGGTGATCCACCTGTCTCTGTCTCCCAAAGTACTGGGATTACAGGCGTGAGCCACTACACCCAGCTCTGATATTTCTATTTCAATTAAGAGATACAGTTAACACATACTGTCTTAGATTAACAGACTGACCAAAAATGCTACACATTTCTTCTATCTCTGAATACACTGGATTCCATTTAAATTCATGCCTGTAATCCCAGCACTTTGGGAGGCCGAAGCGGGAGGATCACGAGGTCAGGAAACCAAGACTATCCTGGCTAACTCAGTGAAACCCCATAGCTACTGAAAATACGAAAAATTAGCCTGTAGTCCTAGCTACTCAGGAGGCTAAAGAGGGAAATCATTAGAAACCGGGAGGCGGAGGTCACAGTGAGCTAAGATCAAACTACTGCACTCTAGCCTGGGCAACAGAGCAAGACTCTGTCTCAAATTAAGGAAAAAAAAAAAAAAAAATAGAATGGTTGCTCTTAGCATTTATTATAAATTCCATTGAGGTGAGCCAATCTTCCTGTATCAAGTCAAATTGACATTTGGGCATTAAATTAAAATTAGGACAAATTAGAATTAGTACAAAATGATTATCAAAGTTGGTCTTAAAGACTAAGAGGGACCACAAGAAAATAAAAACACAATCTGAAGGATATTAGATAAAAAAAAATAAAGAATAAAAAAATGGCAAAAGCTCCCTTCTCTCTCTACCATGTATGGTTCTCTGGAGTTACTGCCCATTTATCACTGAATATAGGATGAAAAGTGGTCACAACAGGCAACTGTTCCCATCTCTCATACTCTCAAGGACTATGAAGGCTTATAATTTGTCCAGAGTTAAGGAAATAGACATGACAGTATAAATAGCTATTTAATAAATATCTGTCTATAGTGGACATTTTCTGTATCATTTATTATGATAATTAAGTATTTTAAGACTTGGAGACCTTAGTAAATAAATTTCAGTTACGGCTGCCATATGTTCATGTGTAATAGATCTTTGAGAATCCCCAACAATCCCCCTGCATTAAAAAAACAAAACAAAAAATTTTAGATATATCAAGTAGTATGACACGTTTAACACAAGAATGAACAGGTTTACATACCAGGACTTCTTGAATCCCTCAAGCAGGTAGGAGATTCCATATGAAGCAGGGCTTCAGCAGCTTCAATTGTCTTATCTGTACAGTGTGCATTACTGCTATGAACTGATGCTTCCACTGGAGGAAAAACAAGTTCTACTCAATTAAAAATACACTAAACGCATAACTAAAACATATTACTAAGAAATATAATCACTCCTGAAAGAGAAATGAAAAATAAATATAAAATAACACGAGTAACTCTAAGCCACTGACATCTATTAGTCTAGATAAATTACTTACGGAAATAATTTGTAAAAAGCTAGTATCTATATTTTATAAAATAAATACTGATATAAAATGAATGTTGATTATAAAGCAACCAATGATGTAAATCAGAAATTATGCACTGGGCAGTGGCTCACAGCTGTAATCCCAGCACTTTGGGAAGCCGAGGCAGGCGGATCACAAGGTCAGAAGTTTGAGACCAGCCTGACCAACATGGTGAAACTCTGTCTGTACTAAAAATACAAAAATTAGCCAGGTGTGGTGGCACATGTCGGTAGTCCCAGCTACTTAGGAGACTGAGGCAGGAGAATCGCTTGAACCCGGGAGGCAGAGGTTGCAGTGAGCCAATGCGCCACTGCACTCCAGGCAACACAGCAAGACTCTCTCTCTCAAAAAAAAAAAAAAAAGAAATTACTAAGAGGTTGGCCAGACACGGTAATCTCAGGCCTGTAATCTCAGCTACTCAGGAGGCTGAGGCTGGAGAATCACTTGAACCCAGGAGGTAGAGGTTGCAGTGAGCCCAGATCGTTCCACTGTACTGCAGCCTGGACGACAGAAGACTCTGTCTCAAAACAACAACAAAAAAAGATATCTGACAAGTTTCTGAATCTTACTCAAAGGAAAACAAAGAAAGATCCTTGCAATTTGAACTCTGCATCAATTTTAGGCCAATACAAATTTGCAGGAAGGGAAGAAGGGGCAGGGAGAGGCTGGTTGCAGATTAACAATCCTAGAAGCCAATTATATATTTTGATGCATTGCCACTAAAGCCAGTGGTAACTCTACGCCATTGATATCTATTAGTCTATATACACTACTTACAGAAATACATGAGTAGCTCTAAGCTATTGATATCTATTAGTCTATATAAATTACAGAAATACATGAGTAACTCAAAGCTACTGATATCCATTAGTCTATATAAATTACTTACAGAAATAATTTTTAAAAAGCCAGTATCTACATTTTATAAAATAAATACTGATATAAAATGAATGTTGATTATAAAGTAACCAATGATGTAAATCAGAAATTATGGGCCAGGCACGGTGGCTCACATCTGTAATCCCAGCACTTTCGGATGCAAAAAAATTTTATTAATATACCATTAAGATAAAACGAATTTTATTACCTTAATAATATATTAATTTCACATAACCTAGTAGAATCATGCGAGTTAATCAATTAATTCAGTTCTTAGAGACCCTCTTGAGTTACTTGAGTACAGTAAGCCCTCCATATCCAAGAGTTCCATATCAGCAGATTCAACCAACCTCAGATTGAAAATACTGCGGGGAAGGGGAGGCAATAAAAAATAATACAACAATTGAAAACACAATGTAAATACTACAGCATTTTGTACAAGAGACTTGATTGAGCATCTTAGGATTTCAGTATCTGCCAGATGGAGGAGGCATCCTGGAACCAATACCCCAGCAGTCTGCTAAGGAGCAGCTGTACTCTCCAGGCAGGGCTGCCTAGGGATGGATAACAACATACATTAGATTTATGGCCAGAGTACTTGGGAACTTTCTTTACAATTAACCTTGTTCTCTTCAGAGCCTCAATGGGTTTTAACCTAAGACTTTTTCTTAAAGAGTTTATTCTTCCCATGAAGCCTTCAAATTCTACCACCCTTTGTATCTTTCTTCTAGCACTTCCTTTATGCTTTGCTGATTATGCTACTTGTAAAAAAAATGTGTACAGCAGTGGTTTGGGCTTTCAGGTCCAACAGCTTGGGTTCTAATCTCTGTCACTTACTTCTGTTACCTGAGGTAAGCAACTTAATCTCTCTTAAACTTCAATTTCCTCTTTCATAGAGCAGAAATATGGTAATTTCTTACCATTTCTGTAAGATTATAAACTCCTTGAGGTCTTGGGTCGGGGAGGGGGGCTATCTTAACCCATCTTTACATATGCCATGGTTCCCAACATAGACTTTTCAGAGTAGACACGCAGTTTTTTTTTTTTTTGTTTTTTGTTTGGAGAGGGAGTCTCTCTCTGTTGTCTGGGGTGGAGTGCAATGGCATGATCTCAGCTTACGGCAACAGGCACCTCCCAGGTTCAAACGATTCTCCTGTCTCAGCCTCTCGTGCAGCTGGGGCTATAGGCACAGGCCACCATGCTTGGCTAATTTTTGTATTTTTAGTAGAGACAGGTTTCACCATGTTGGCCAGGCTGGTCTCAAACTCCTGACCTCAGGTGATCTACCCGCCTTGGCCTCCCAAAGTGCTGAGATTACAGGCGTGAGCCACCGCACTGGGCAGGTATTTCTCTTATGTAGTGAATTAAGGACAACCCACTGACCTTACAGGAAAATCAGCAATTCAAGAACAAATTTTATTATCTTAAAAATATATTAATTGCACAACCTGACTTAAAACACTCAATAGTTAACTTGGTAAGAGATTCTGAAACATGAATATTTAAGAGCCTCTAACTTGACAGATTTTATCAAGATGTCCCCTAAAGGAACTAAATGTTTATACAAATTTCATAAAGTCATATTACAAATTCATAAGCACTACACACTAACAGTATGAATCTTCTAAAACTGTTTCCAGGAAACTTTTAATTGGGGGAAAAAAATCCAATTAGTCTCAAAGTTCCCTAAATGCTAAAGCCTCAGTTTTAAACAACAGTCATTTGGAGAGCATTTATTTTAAAAATCCAATGACTGTTTTACCACCTGTTGCACATCATCCACAAGGTACTGGGTCTCTCCAGTTGCTCTTTCCATTTATGGAAATCTGTTCAAAGCTAAATGGTTCCAGAGAGGCAGCCAAACCTCTAAGTAAATCTATCTTTAGGTGACCCTGCTTACTCTTATCTGCAGCTTCACTGAAGCAAAGGATTCAATCAGCCTGTGTAGCTCAACTTTAAGAAAACCTAGCATTATTAAGTATAAGATATGTCATCATTCTCAAATATTTTTTTCAAAGTACCTCCCTACAATACTCACATACACTAAGAAAAAAAACCTTGAAAAAATCCTCCAGTTTTTAAAATGTATTCTAGGAAGCATTCTTTTTAAAGTCTGCTTGTGTTGCAATTTAGCTGTTGTCTTAGGTGCTATTAATAAACTATCCTGGGTAAACTAATTCCTTATGTAATTGTATTAAGACATACCGTAAAAACTTTACCATATTAAAATCAGAGTCTCAAGTATTTAATAATATTACAGCAGAAGAATTTTACCAGATTTTTAAATGTCTTAAGTTATAAACAGAATGAAATTTGTCTAACAGTCACATATTACATGCCCTGAATTCTTACACAGTTTGAGGCACATTTTCAAAACCATGATTTTGTGTTATTAAACTTGGTATGTCAGTGGAAATTACTTCTTCAAGGTATATATTCTTGCACATATTTCTGAACTCAACTTCCCCTTCCCCCCTAAAATTCAACATATTATATCTCAGAAATATTTTATATTTACAGAGTAAAATACACTTAATTAGAAAATGTATTCATTTAGGACGAGAAAATAAACTATGCATAACTTATCTATGAAATATCAGCCAGAAGATCTAATTAATACTCTATGTACAACTGACAAATAGCTGCTGACATTTACCAAGTGCCCAGGCCCTGTGCTATAAACCTGACTCAAGTGTGAACAGATCTCTGGCCTCATGAAGCTTATAGTACTATAGATTAGGTATCCTTACCCAAAATGCTTAGGACCAGAAGTGTTTCAGATTTCAAACTGAAAAAAAAAAAATCTGCACTATATACTTCCAGTTGAATATCCCAAATCTAAAGATCCAAAATGCTTTAATAAGCATTTCCTTTGAGTGTCACATCAATGCTCAAAGTTTTGGATTTTAGAAAGTTCATTCTACAGTTCAGAAAGCATCAAAAATATAAATGGAAGATATTTCAAAACTAAATAAAAATGTAAAATCAGCCAGGTATGCCTCACACCTGTAATCCCAGCACTTTGGGAGGCTCAGGCGGGCAGATCACAAGGTCAGGAGTTCAAGACCATCCTGGCCAACATGGTGAAACCCCATCTCTACTTAAAATACAAAAAATTAGCTGGGCGTGGTGGTGGCACATGCCTATAATCCCGGAAAATTGCTTGAACCCAGGAGGCAGAAGTTGCAGTGAACAGAGATTGCACCACTGCATTCTAGCCCTGGTAACAGAGTGAGACTCCGTCTCAAATAAACAAACAAAAAAGTTAAAGTTACTCTGTAAGTTAAAGCATGTTAAGAGAATCACAGATTACTTTTTTGTTGCTAATTTTACCTCCTGTCATTTTTATTTACTAAATGAAATAATGCAAAACACAAAAATCTAAGAGCCTATTCTCAGATCAATTTACAATAATGTATTAATGTCAGTGTCCAAAACTTAATACACTTTGTAAAAGTGAGCACTATCTTTTTATTTTTGCTTACATATAAGTACTTTCTGATAACAGAGATTTAAGAAATATTTCTCCGACTTGTTTCTGTAATTTAAAAAATCGATATGTTGTTCAGATCAATAATTCAAACAGAATTTCAACTAAAATTTTGCACATTTCTTAAGAATAAGCATGAATTTAACAGTGTTGTACAATCAAAGTAAGCAAGCTACAAGCAAGGACTAAAAAGTAGAATTCCTTATCTCTTACTTAAAATTTGACTTACTGGTCTCTTTCTGTATCTGTCTATGCAATTTATGAAAGGAAAAAATAACTAATTTTGAAAATTAAAAACAATGAAGCTAAAAGTAATCTGACAGGTACCATTTTTTTAGTTCCCACTGGTAGTGGGTATCGCTGGTCAATCCCTCTTGAAATAAATTCCAAGAACTGTTTACTTTTTATTACAGTACCAAAAACAATATTTGCTTAT